GAAGAGGAAAAGAGGAATGGAGAGAGGAAAAGGGAGGGGAAAGAAAAAGGAGAAGGGGAAGGAAAGGAAATGGAGAGGAAAGGGGGAAGGGGAAATGGAAAGGAGGGAAAGGAGGAGGGGATGGGAAGAGGAAATGGGGAGGGAAAGGGGATAAGGAGGGGATGGGAAGAGGAAATGGGGAGGGAAAGGGGATAAGGAGAGGAAATGGGGAGGGAAAGAGGAAGAAAAAGGAAAAAGGAAGGGAAGAGGAAATGGAGAAGGGAGGGGGAAGAGGAAGTGGAATGGTAAAGAGGAAGGAAAGAAAACAGGAAAGGAAGAAGGAAGGGAAGGGGAGAGGGGGAGGGAGAGAGAAAATGGAGGGGAAAAGGAGAGGGAAGGGGTAGGGATAGAGGGAAAGGAGAAGGAAAGAGGAAAAGGAGAGGGAGATGGGAAGGAAAGAGGAAGGAAAGGAGGAAAGGGGAAGGTGAAAAGAAAATCGGGAGAGGAAGGGAAGAGGAAGGAAATGGAAAGAGGAAAAAGAAAGGGGAAAGGAGGAATGAGGAAAATGAACAGAATGGAAACGTGGGGAAGTGAGTGGAGAATGGAAATGGAATGGAAAGGTGGGAGAAAATGGGGGAAGGTTGGAAAGGGGAGAGAAATGAGGGGAAAATGGGAGGAAATTGGGTGAGAAAAACGAAAAATATGAATGAGAAAAATGGGAACAGTGAATAAAGGTGAGGAAAAATGAGGAAAAATGGGATAAAGATGAGGAAAAAAAAGGGAAAAAAGGAATAAAAAAATACGGAGTAAAGATGAGAAGAATGAGGGAGAATGGATAAAGATGGAAGATAATGAGGGAAAATGGAATAAAGCTGAGAAAAAAATAAAAATGGGACAAAAATGAGGAAAAAAAGAGGAAAAATGGAATATGAGAGAAAAAATGGGGTAAAATGGAATAAAATTTAAGGGAAAATGGAATCAAGAGAAAAATAAGGGAGAAATGGAATAAAAATGGGAAAAAATAGGGAAGAACGGGATTAAATAGAAAAAAATGGAATGAAGATGGGAAAAAATGAGGGAAAATGGAATTAAAAAGAGAAAATGGAGTAAAGATGGGGAAAAATGAAGGAAAATGGAATTAAAAAGAAAAAATGGAGTAAAGATGGGAAAAAAATGAGGGAAAATGGAATTAAAAAGAGAAAAATGGAGTAAAGATGAAAAAATGAGGGAAAATGGAATAAAAAAAATGGAATTAAGATGGGAAAAAATGAGGGAAAAATGGAATTAAAAAGAGAAAAATGGAGTAAAGATGGGAAAAATGAGGGAAAATGGAATTTAAAAGAAAAATGGAGTAAAGATGGGAAAAAAATGAGGGAAAAATGGAATTAAAAAGAGAAAAATGGAGTAAAGATGGGAAAAATG